AACGGAGCAATTTCGAAAATGGTCGTTGGCATGGGAAAAATGGTTGTTGCACGGGTAAAAAGCGGTTGTTGCACGGGTAAAAATGGTTGTTTGGAATTTCAAAAAAAAACAAAACGGCAAACAAGAGCGAAAAACTACTCACAAACGAAAATCTCGAAAAAAAAGTTGTCAATTCCGGAGAAAGGTCGAAAAAGCTCAGACGAAAGCTAGCAGACATGAAGGGGAGAAGGCCTGAAAGCTTACAGGCTAGAAAAACAAGCATCAAAAACACGAAAACCCGAAGTCCAAAAGCTCGAAACCCATGAAAACCGAAAGCCCGAAACCCTCTGCTTGTGACGTCATCTCATTGGAATCAAGTCTTGGCTGAGCAAAGACTTCTACACCACGATAGAAAAAGCTTGCAATTGAAGTCGCACAAGTGCTTCTTGCTTTTGCAGATTGAATCGCTTGATGTGATGACAGACGTGGTGGACTCCCCGAACCCCGGTGAACATCTCGTGGCTGGGATGCAGAAGTCAAAAAGCGACTCGCTTTATGGGGGCTCTTTCGGCAAGTTGAGCCGTAGAATCCCTCCTCGCGCTCTTGCTCAGGGTAAGTTTTCATATCATCGCTACGTGAAGACAGTACCTAATACGACAAGTTCATACACCAGTCAGCTTGCCTTGCAAGAGGATTCGTTTTCGGGATTTTCTCAGAGGACATTACCAACAGGTGTCTCTAGAATTTTGCATCTTCCAATGCAGTTAACGAAGTGATCCGTTGGAGCACAGCCCATGTCCTGTGAGCAGATAGCCAGGCAAATGTACCCCTGACATGTTGTAACAAAGACAGGGTAGTTAAGTATATGATTTGAAGTCAAGCAGATTCATGTTGGGCGGCTTTGGCTGATCCATCACAGACACCCCGCTTGGAACCTAGGGAGAAAGACCGCCACCAAGTCACGGGTAACTTGACGCATGCGAGATTCGAGCCACTGTTTGCATGTGTCATGATGTACCGCGACAGGCTCGACTTGCTGAAGATGTATGGCCAGCTCCTCTCCTAGCACTCATAGCTATGCAGATATACCCAAGATACTGTAGTGGACTCATGTGGCCATTCACTCCCAAAGATGTTTTGATCACGAACCCTTTGGAGTTCCATGTCGTTCCTTGCCATGAGCCTGTCCTTGTTGCACATGGCTCAGAATGCAGCAGTGACTGTGAACAACATTATCCCTGGACACTCAAGCTTCATTGCCGAGTTGTCCGATGGGAGCTATTCCTATTGGGGGGGTGGTCGAAGGGACCTTCACGGACGAAATCAAGGAGGCCTTAACAGCAGGTGTTCAATCCTTTGCCTCAACCCAAGCAGCTTGGGCGGCTTTAATGACAGATGGCACTGTTGTCACCTGGGGAAGTAGCAATAATGGTGGTGACTCTTCTGCAGTCGCTAGCCAGTTGACGGATATCGTGCAGATTTCTGGGGCTCGATGCAAATTCACCGCGCGCAAGTCAACTGGGAAGGCGATTATGTGGGGTGGAAACAGTGGATGTGATTCATCAGCCCAAAACCATTTTGACCATTTTTCTTCCAACAACGAGCTGGATGATGTGGTAAATCTGGCAGTCCACGAACTGGACTTTGCTGCTTTGAAGGCTGATGGTACAGCGCGTGGATTCGGCGAGTGGGGCCGTCAAACACCATCGCTGAGCAATGTGCAGGACGTATTCACTACTCACAGGGAAGGTGTGGGGGCCATCGATGGCAGCGGTAACGTGAAAACCTGGGGAAGAGGAGGCACTACACTTAGTGGCGTGCAGTCCGTATACAGCAATTGGTTCAGCTACACTTTCTTTGCCTATCGTAAGACGGATGGCACTGTAACATCTACGTGGTCTGCACCATCAAGCCCTCCGACAGATGTCCAAGATGTCAAAATGACGGGGAACGCAGTCGCAGCCTTGAAGACAGATGGAACTGTGCAGGTCTGGGGAAATTCTGATTGGGGGGAGATGGCAGCGGAGTATCTTTAACAAATGTTGCCGAAATATTCGCAACTCAGGGTGCATTTGCAGCCCTAAAGAATGATGGCAGTGTTGAGACTTGGGGCGTTGCCCGTTCTGGTGGAGATTCATCTTCTGTTGATTTGTCATCCGTGTGGTTCAGGTTGTGCCAATCTACCGGGCATTCGCTGCTCGGAAATCTGATGGAAGTGTGGTAGCCTGGGGAGAGGCATCCAATGGTGGAGATGCTTCTGCTGTGGCTGACCAGCTATCATCGGGCATCATTAATGCGGTGGGCTTTTCATATTCCTTTTTATGGGTACGCATTTGCAGCATGGAAGGCAGATGGCACTGTGGTGGCATGGGGCAACTCAGGCTTGAAAGTGAAATCTCGTTGCTCCCTGAATGAGGGTTTCCCAAAGCTCTTGTTCCCTTCTCGGGGCCCCTATAACTAGAACTAGAGTATTTTGGGTTCTATACGAGTGTCCCCCATTTTGGGAAACTACCAAACTCCTAAATATGCATCTTTCACCAAAGTACCCTGAGCCCTGAGCAGGGCTGGGAGGAGATTCCACTGGAGCAATCACAACTGTAACCACATCAACTTCAACGATAACAACGGAAACATCATCAACTGTCACGAAGACAACCTCGACGTCCAGCACTGCGACCGGGACAAGCACCAGCAGCTGTTCATTTACAAGCAGTACAAGCACCACAACTTCGACGACGACCAGCACCAGAAGTGCCACCAGCAGCAGCTCAACGAGCGGCACTCTCACAACGACCTCCACAGTCAGCAGTACGACCAGTAGTACGACCAGCACTTACTACGTTTGCAGCACTGCTACCGCCTCATTGACAGCACGAGCAGCACTGCTGCCGCAGCTCAACAGCCAGTACTCATACACAAGAACTGGGACCACAACATCGAGCACTTCCACAAGCACTACGGTCACAAGCACTGCGACCAGATCGCAGACCCTGGCCCAGAAGAGCCCGAGAAGCTGAAGGAGCAGCAGCGTCAGAGAGAGGCCACTATTCCTCAGGTGATATACATTGGGATAATGGAAAATAAAATGGAAACTACAGGAATTGTAGGGGTTGTATAGGGATTATAGGGTGTATATTGGGGTTATAATGGGATAATGGAAAATTAAAATGGAAACTACTATAGGTATATTGGGGTTATATAACACCCCGAAGGCCACTGTGCCATAAGGTTTGAGGGGTGAGATGCGGCAAGGCTAAGGTTGAAATTGTAGGCCTCTAATATGGGCCATCAGCCCTTTTAAAAGGGACATTCTAGGGACCCTTAAGGGCGCATACACTCCTGGAAACTGACATGGAAACCCAAAAGGGGCCCTATAAAGACTACAGTCCCTCTAAAATGGGGTTCCATGTTAGTTTGGGCAAGTGTAAAGGGTAAGGATTGCAGTGTAAAGGGCCCATACTGGGGGCCCATGGTTTTAACCTCAGAGAAGCTAGTCCTCAAGAAGCTAGTCCTCAATGCCAATTTGCTGGATGACTTCGTAAAGGTCGGCATACAAGCCATTTCTACTTGAGCTAGGGCATGATACCCAGCACAACCCTCTCTCGGACACGTGGAGGATTCGACATAATTATTGACACCAGAAGTATTATCATTTTCATAGTTACGAATACGATTAGTAATGCCATTATTCATCCAATATTCGTTCCATATGTATACAATTACTAATACCATGATTGCCATCATTATTGGGTCATGGGATATTTCGTTGCAGGCTGCAGACGTCGTGAATGCTGTTGATGAGGCAGAGGAGGACAGTGAATATTACCTCGCATTATGCTACCCCAGAGCCCAGACTCCCAGCCTAGTACCCCAGTTCTGATGCTGCAGCAGTACCAGCGCCAATCCCCAAACTCTAGCCCCTGTCCCTGAAATCCTACCAGACTGTGCTTCACAGTCAGATGTGCAACATTCACACCATGCCACGGTGCAACATAGCATGACATAACACATTGCTACGAGTTTGTAGACTGTAGCATCGCGTGCGGAGGGAGGGCGGGGCCGGCCTGTGCCGCCTCCCTGCTGATTCTTCGTGCTCGCGGCAAGGCTCAAGTCAAAGACAGGGGCTCCTCATGGCTTGCGGTTTCCTTCGCTGCAACGATGATCAAAGCCCTTGTCCGGGCCCAGCATTGGCAAGATGCGTTGTGCAGCACGTCCAAGCCGGAGACCACCCCGGCCCAGCATGCAGTTGTTATGAATGCCTTGGCACGCATGAACTCCTGGAAGCTCTTAGTGTCTGCACTACAGGACTGGGACCGACTGATATTTATCAATATAGTTGTCACGGCTATGGACAGAAGCTGCAACTGGCAATGGGCTTGTGCGATGCTGGCAGGTTTAACGGACAGAAGGCTGGATGCAGATGTCATTACATGCACCAGCTCTGTTGGTGCTTGCTTCAATGCTTGGTGCTGGGAAATGATGTTGAAGCTGATGTCAGAAAACCAGACTCTGTCTGTTGGAAGCGATGCGGTGCAGAACGTTGCAACGGCAGCTTTCAGCAAAACGCTTGATTGGAAGAGAGCATTTCTGCTTCTGGGCAGCCGCAGGCTGCAGCGCCTGGAGCTGAGCAAGCAGAGTTGCACAGCCGCGATGAAGTCCTGCGAGGCCTCTGAAAAGTCTGATAGGTGGGAGCTCTCATGCAAGATCCTCAACTGTGCAACGACAAGTGACGTCATGATGTTCACAGCAGCGATTGCCACATGCAGCTCAAGCTGGCAGACTGTGCTGACGTTGTTGGGTGGACTTAAGCGTGCATGGCTGAAGGCAGACACTGTGGCTGTAAGTGCTGCTGTCACATCTCTAGCAAGGGCTGCCATGTGGGAGGCAACCTTGCAACTAGTGCAGATGTCTGGTGTTCGAGTCGATAGGCCTCTGTTCAATGCTATGATCAAATCCTGTGCAAAAGCCAAAGAATGGGAACTGGCTTTGAGCCTGCTGCGCTCGGCAATCGTTAAGACCCTTCAGGTCCGGCCGGACACCATCAGCTTCAATAGTATCTTGGTAGAGTGCCAGGACATGTGGCAGACGGGACTCTCGCTGATGGCATCATTGTTAGTGCATGGCATCGCACCTGACTCCGCCAGCATCAGCTCTGTAAGCTATGCGAGCTCTGCGAGCGGCGTGGCCTGGACGCGGACATTGGATTTGCTAAGTGCAGGCTTGCGCCCAGACGCGTGCGCGTTCCTCACTCACAGCTGGCAAAAGAGCTGTGAATTGGCACTTGGGTCCTTGCAAGATCGCGTGGGATGTTTGGGCAGAGCTGGTTTGTGGAAGGCTTGCTTGTCGTTCTCGTTGCTATTGGAGAAATGCTGCCCAGAAGAACGGACGAACCCGAGTGGGTGCTGTCATACCTGGGAGCTCACAGCTATGGCTTGCGGAACCTCCTCGCAGTGGCAACATTCCCTCAACATCTTTCAGAGGCTCAACTCCGTAAAAGTCGAAATGGATCTACAGAGGACCTGGCCTCCGGTGCTTCGAAGCTGTGGACTTGCTGGTCACGAAGCAGAGGCGCTGCAGCTGCTTGAGCAGCTCCGCCTTGCACGGGCCGATGTGGATGTTGGCTGGTACGGCACTCTGATTGACTCCAGCAAAACCTCTCCAGACAGCATTCTGAGAGAGATGGGGCGGGCATCGGTAAACATGGTGGCCTCGACATACCGCGCTGCATTGGCGGCTTTCGCAAAGTGCCGAGATGTACAGAGCGCCAGCGAGCTGCTAGCTGACATGGCCCTGGCTGGGGAGCAGTTACCAACGTACAGCTGCAACTTGCTGTTGGCAGCTGATTCTGAAAAGGCCTTTGACTTCTTTCAGCAGCTACGAGAGCAGAGCCTAGAGCCCAACGTCGTTACTTTCAGCACAGTCATAAGTGCATGCCAGAAGCAAGAAGATGCAGCAGCGGCATTGGACCTCCTCGCCAGCATGGACAGAAGCCACATCGTGCCAAACACCATCACATATTCTTCTGCGATCAGTGCTTGCGAGCGGGCTCATTGGACTGAGCTCGCACTGTCCCTCTTCCACAGCATGCAGAGAGTTGACCTTCAGGCAGATTGCATTTGCTACAACTCTGTAATCAGTGCCTGTGAGAAGGGGAAGAGAGCCGAGACCGCCTTGGATTTGCTTGAGACCATGCGAGCAACGCGAGTGCAGACCACTGGTGTGACCTACTCGGCTGTCATCAGTGCCTGTGACAAATGCAGCTTGCTGCGGCGTGGTTGTCAGTTGCTGGGAGACATGAAGGATGCTCAGATCGAGTCCAGCGTTGTTGCATATAATGCCCTCATCAGTGCGTGTTCTCGGCTGTCTCGCTTGAGCAAGGCCTTGAGGCTTTATGGTCAATTGAAGGACGAGTCTCTCCAACCAACAGTGGTCACTTGCAGTTCCCTGGTCAACGCATGTGAGAACTCCGACAGGTTGTCCAAGGCCCTGCAGGTCTTCGAGCAGATGAGAGGGCTTGTGAAGGCCAATCTCGTCGTGTATAACGCCATTCTTAGTGCCTGCGAGCGTGCCTCTGCATTTCGGCGTGCTTGTCGGCTTTTTGAGGACATGCGCCTCGATAAGCTTCAGCCTGATATCATCTCCTACAACTGCTTGATAGGGGCCAGCTGCAAGTCAATGGAATCCGAAGCGGCCTGGGCTTTGCTGCAGCAAATGGAGACCGGCCGTGTCAGTGCAGATGTCGTGACGTACGTGACGCTGCTCTTGGATGCAGATGTGAGCGGCCCAGGCCTGCATGTACTGCCGTTAGAGCGCCTGAGTCAGGCCGGCATCCGCCATTTGCGCAAGGGGATGCGACGCGGTGGCAGTCCAAAGGGAGAGCGCTTCATGCCGCACGCCAAACGGGCCAAAACCGCCAGGGCGGGCCATTCGGAAGGGTTGTTTGGGTTTTTCGTCCCGGGCTCGGGGTTTTGGGCTCAGGGGCCGAAAACACACGGTCCAACAATTGAAGTTGATTTGAATTGGGTTTTGGGTTTGGGGTTCAAGGTTCAGGGCTTAAGTGGCTTCGTGGATGAGAGCTAGGTCTAGGTTGCAACTGGCTTTGCGCTTTAGGTGTAGGTATTGAGTTTGGGGCTTTTGGTACACGGTGTAGCGTGTAGTGTTTCGTGTTCAGAAAGGGTCTACTCTACTAGGTATAGTTTAGTGTTTCGGGGATTGAGTCTAAGAGTGTAGGTAGGGTGTATCCTTGGGTTTTTGCCGAGCTCCGGGCCTGTTGACCCTCAGCCTCAAACTACAGGACACACGGAAAGAATCGAACCAAAAAGAAGAGAAAACTGTGCAAAACAACAAGGCCGGAGCGAGAAGGGCTATGCACAGATCCTTGTTCGATTGAGTGCCAGAGCCAGCCAGCCAGCTCACCAAAGGAATTGCTGCAGAATCCAAATCTCAGGTCCATGGAGCATGGAGGTCCATGGATGTTATGAAGCCGCAGCGGTCAGTGAGAGCTAGGAATGTTATGTCTTTGTTTATGACTTGGGTGGCCTCAGTCTTGCCAAACATCTCAAAACATATGGGTCATATGGGGGTTTCCCAAAATTAGGGGTACCATTTTGGGGGTCCCCATAATAAGGACTATGGTATATTGGGGGTCTATTGGGGTCCCCTTAATCTGGGAAACTACCATATACCCAAATGTTGGACATGTCCAGCTTGGAGCGAAGCGTAAAGGAGTGGAGCCCTAGGGATCTAGAGCACAGGGAATGCCACAGGCCATTGAAGTGTCTCTGAGGTTGTATGACCCCTGAGTACTGTCGATCTGCGGGTTAGCCGTACAGGGATTAGGTTTTCTGAGAATTCCTTTGAGTCCAGATCTTTCAGAATTGGACGCGCAGAGAATTTCTGAGGCCAACCTTTGCCTCGCACGATTCCAAGATCTGTCCACAAGCCTAACCTACGGTCCCTTCAGCATGGTCACTCCTGACAAAAGCCACGTGTCCGCCTTCACTCAAAATCCAGGCTTGAAGTGTCGGCACAGTGCCACGC